AGATGACTGAGTGTATGTACTTATACAAACCGTATACATAGAAGCCCATGTTACGGACCGAGTGTGCCGCTATTGCCCCTAAAACTTATGTTGAAGCCCTACCCCCTGGAGTGCTAAATTTGGAGCTAGGACCTTTACAGAAGGAATTAAGATTAAATGAGATCAAAAGAATAGGGCTTTCATCAGATAGGATTAATGTGCTGAGAAGAGACCCCAGAGATCTCGATTTCTCTCCCTCGAGAGACAGAGGAAAGCCTGCGTGAGGTGCAGTAAGGTAGTCTGCCAGCCAAGCAGCAAATCCACTGGCACCTTGATCTTGGACTTCCCAGCCTCTAGAACTGTGAGACATAGTGTTCAAACCCCCATCTGTGGTATTTCAGTATAACAGTCCACCTAACTAAGACGAAATACTAAAAGTTTCATGAGTACCGCAGAAAAAGATCTACACAAATGAGCAGAAGTATGTTTTCCTCTGAAAACCTATGAGTGTGTGTCCCATTATGTTATATCATCTCATTTTTCATGAGTCAACCACCTATTTGCTCTACTGTACTTAGTTCTTTTTTTTTTTTTTTAAAGATTTTATTTATTTATTTGAGAGAGAGAGAGAATGAGAGATAGAAAGCACGAGAGGGAAGAGGGTCAGAGGGAGAAGCAGACTCCCTGCTGAGCAGGAAGCCCGATGCGGGACTCGATCCTGGGACTCCAGGATCATGACCTGAGCCGAAGGCAGTCGCTTAACCAACTGAGCCACCCAGGCGCCCCCTACTGTACTTAGTTCTTGAGTTGTTTTTTCTTTAACACCAGTAACTCCCATCCGGTCTGACAAATATAACAATAGTGAGTATTGAAATGGCTGATAAGAAGGGAGGCTACAATTAGGATATGGATGGTGATTTTTAAAAATAGTACAAACATGCCCTAGGTACACATGGAATACAGGTGAATTCTCTGGTGGGCATAATTGTGACAGAAAATATGTCCTGCATTATGTGAAATGTGCCATGGCAGTTAGTAAGAGAAGAAGAAAACCATAAAGGTGGAGAAATCTAAGGGTTTGACGTCAGTATCAGTGGAAGATGAGTCATACAGTATTTCTTCAGAGCTAAGGCACTTTTTTTTTTTTCACCTTTTGACCTATCTGAAGGTGAGATATTTTGCAACCGATGGGTGCTGTCAGGCAAGTGTCAGGCATGACGAGGATGTCCTCTCCTGGGCATGTATGGACATCAAAAGAGCAGCCCCCGACTTGCAGAGTGGGTGTCCAACAGCTTAGAAGAAAACCCTGCAGACAAAAATGAAGCCCTCTTAAGCCTTCTTGGATTTGCCTGGTTGTGCAGAGGGGCTTGGAGGTGTGAACCTGACTTGTTGAGCCACATTCCTGAAGTGGGAGTTAGAAGTAAGCCGACTGGAGATAATTGCAGAGCTGACTTAAGAACTTTGCACCCCTGGTTCCGAGGCTTGTAGTTCTTTGGTGGATTATTTAAGAAAAGCCGCCTCACCAGTACTCCAAGGAAACACGGGCTAGTGTGTGGAAAATCACAAACATTAGTGACTCAGCGTTGAAAACCGATGAGCAGTTGGATTCTAAACATGAAAACGTTTTTGGAAAACCTTAGCCGATATACTTCACCTATATATTCTTCTTAAATACACCCCAGATTAATATATAAAAATTTGTCTAAGTCCAAAGGAGCTTTTTCAAAAAGAATAAAATAAAAATTCGAAATGGCGAAAAAGTACTGTACATAGTGTAATTGGCAGCTTCTCCCTGTTTCTTAGGGGTAAGAAAATAATAGCTCCTCTATTAAAGGGCATCTTAGAATTGGTGAAACACAGTAGCCTGTTGTTATAATGGAAGACAGCAAGCAGTTTGAAACCCTGAAAGCCTCTGCATGTGAAGGGGCTCCAGATGCCACAGGAACGTGGGATTTAAGGCCTCTCTGAGCCTGCTCATCCTCACAGGGAGAGGTGAGGTGGCCCATGCAGAGAGCAAGCTGCTCAGGAGTTCCTAGGGGCTTTGCAGACATCTGCCTCAGCAGATCTTCCCTTACCACTGCCCAGGCAAATGTGTACCAGCAGAAAGGGTGTGAGGGTACCCGGTTCAAGCACCATTAAAGGGCCATTCAGCCTCCTGGTAAGGGAGCCAAGTACCTGGAATGCTGCACACTGACCCCTCTTGGTCACTTGAGTCTATGAAGAAATGTACTTAGAAATGGCCTTTGGGTCCTAACCTGTTTGTTAATAATATATATGTGTGGCATTTATATGTATTAATATACACACATGCACTTGTATGTACATATATGTCTTATATATGGATCTGTGTATGTCTGACACCACTTACGTAAGCTCATACACACACACTCACTGACATACATTGTTTGATAACCTGCTTTTTGCAAATACATCCACTCTTTCCATGTCATTACATATTCTCTGTAGTGTCAGTATAAATGATACCATAGAATTCTTTTGAATGGATTTTTACTCATTTATTTAATCACCGTATTATTAAAGGATTTCTTCTACCTACTTGAGGAACATTCTTATGGCCAAGCTGTGTGCAGACCTGTAATTTTTTTGTTAACTGGATCCTCATGGGTACCTATTGGTGATTCAGACTTTGCATGGTCCAGGAGCAACAGGACCACAGGCCTTTTGCCCGCTTTCTGTTTTTTACAAATGTGTGTGAAGGTTAAAGGGTTGGAATGGGGGTTATGGACATAGTATTAAGCTCAGTCTCTGAAACCACCCAATCCTGGCTCATCACCTTGGGCGAGATATCTCAGGTTCTCTGGATCTTCGTTTCCTCATTTGTAACTTGAGTCTATGACACGTGGTTTGTAGGACTGTTGATGTAGTAACAAGCATATCAAGTGCCTGTTATCTGGTAGCCCCTAAGTCAGTGTTCGAACAGCTTGGGGGGCTGGGGTAGGGAGAAAAATCTCATGCTGATGGGTCCCACGGTCCTAGAGGATGATGCGGGGTGCATAGTAGATGCTGCTGTTCATTGACGATTTATGCCTCTGCTCCTTCAATCCAGACAGCTGGCCTCCTGGGTGAAACTCCTGCAGCTGCACAGGGCACTGTACATGGTTCAGTGCTCTGCTCTTGCTGTCTAGAAATCCTTAATCTTGAATAGAGGCTCCATATTTCCATGCTGCACTGGGCCCCGCAGATTCTGTAGCCAGTTCCCCCTTGTAAGGTTGTTGGCAGCGTGACATGAGAGCTCACAAAGCACATGTCGTAGTTAGGGTGTAATAGAGCTCAGTAATCATTAGATGGATACAGTAATTTTTTTTATGAGCAGAGATACCTATCATAAGTGTATTCATTTAATTATTAAACCTGTGAGATAAATACACAATTAATCTAGGAGAGATTAAGAAACTGAGGCTCCAGAAGCTTAATCGCCAACTAAAATCACACAGCTTATAAATGCAGAACTTGGATTCAGACCCAAGTCTGTCTCACCCAAAGCCCACACCACTGACCTGCCCTATGAAGTATTAGCTTCCCTCCCTCCCTCCCTCTCTCCCCCTCCCCCCCTCCCTTTCTCCTTCCCTCCCTTTCCTTCCCTTCCCTTCCTTCTTTCCTTTTCTTCCTTCCTTCCTTCCTTCCTTCCTTCCTTCCTTCCTTCCCAGGGAACCTCTCTGTCAAACTCAGTGTTTAAGTGTTCTTGATATTCATCAGCAGCCCAACCCTTATCCCCAGCAGAGGTTTAAGAGCCCCTCAAAGATGATCTAGAATTCCTGCCAGACCTGGAAACTTTGGGGGCTACAGCAGACAGTAAAGACGCTTCCACTTTTAAGTACTATCCTGCCATGTCTCCAAGCCTGCTCAGAACTCCGTTACCTGGCCCAATCTGGCCAACCTGGTGACAGTTCAGCTTGCTTCCTTTGATTCCTGATAGGCTTAGCTTAGGATGACCATGTCCAACTGAACCTCCAAACCGCCATGAGAATCAGCAGGAGATCTGCCTGTGTCAGGTCCTGGGAAAGAGGCTGTGGGAGATACCTATTTCCAGTAGACTGAGGACATGGCCATCTGTCCTGTGGCAGGGATCCCTTGCTTTCCTACAGTGCCAGGTCATGATTTGCTCTGCCCACTCTTCCCTGCCAGAGAGAGAGTGAGAGGAGGGAAGGAGGGAGGGAGGAAGAGAAAGGATCCATTCCACCACACTGCTAATAAGCAGGCATACAGCATGGTGTGGGGAGGCTTCAATGCAAGTTTGCTTATGGTGTGTGGCCTTCGAGCAGGGAAGTTAATACTTGAGCATTTCATCTCTTGGATAGCCGGATTTGAATTTCGAACGTGACAATGAGACTGTTTGTTGTTTCAAAGCAATTCCCTAAGTGGCTGTTTGCTCAAGACTTTTGTAGTGTGAACAGAGATTTGGGGGAGGGGAAGAAGCCATCTGCTCTGGAATAGTCTTCCAATTACATGATCAAATTACTGCAGAGCAAAATGGAAGGAGTCCAACAGAAAGTTCCCGTCTGGTGTATCCAGCCCCAACCTGCTCTCCGGGGCCATTGTGTCCATGTGGAGATTCACATGCAGGTTTCAGAGGCCAGGCCGTGATCGCCAAGAGTGTGAGTAGGAGAACAGAGAGAGCCAAAGAGGAGAGTCAGCGTGAGCGTTCTTGCTGCATCAACATGCCTCTCGGGAGAATGAAACAGTCATGCATTTGAATTAAAAAGTGAATTTTTGGAGAAACTCAGTTTCTTTTCCTTTTGACTTTAGTGATCCGTGTCTCTGATTACAATTAATTTATCACATGAAATAGTTACATCCCTTTAAATTCAGTTGGTGATTTTTATTTGCTGATAACTCTCTTTGTAAATTTGCAAATCTATTTATTTCCCTTAAAATAGGAGAACAATTTTCTTGTTTTTGGAATATGGACTGTCTTGATGTGCAAAACATTATTGAGTCTTATTTTTTTTTCTAAATATGTGTGTGTGTGTGTGTGTTTTTTCCCTTTCTTTTGCTATTAGGCATTCATGCAGCCTCACTTGCTGGGAAATGAGTTCACACATTTGGAGTTTCCAAGGAGAGTACAGAGAAAGGAACTTGGAAAGAAGATGCTCTACAGGGACTTCAATATGACAGGCTGGTAAGAACATGCCTCCCTCTGCCTCAGCACCACCACAATATGTGTGAGGGAAGCGTCACCACCGTAAAAAGCCATTTACGCCATTTGGATCAGGTAGTACAGCCAGAGACTTGGTTGGTGGTGAAGGAATAGGGGCCGTGCCCGCTTCTGCGGTTTGTTCCTCGGCACCAGTCCTCAGATCACAGTGTTGGTTGGCCTCAGTGCTTCTCTGAGGCCCTCCCTGGGGACATGAGACCCAACAAAGCTGACATAAATCCTCACTTCAGATGAGCAAGCATTTTTGAGGCTTTTAAAAACTTAAGTTGGTCAGCAGCTCAAAGAAATGGGCTAACAGGTCAGCAGCTTAAAGAAATGGGCTAACAGTTTATTGAGCCAGACAGGTGTGGATGTGAATCTTAACTCTGATCTTTCTAAATAGACAAAGTTGGATAAACTGCTGAACCCTTATGAGCCCAATTGTCCAAGAATAAAGTGGAAAATATATGCTCTTTGAGGGGTTGTTGTAAGGACTAGAGGTAATGAGCCATCTTCATTATTTTTTCACATTCATTTCAAGATAAGAATCTTGGCCGGGGGTTGTCTTACTCCCACGGCACACCTTTGTAAGCACCATGTTCATTTCTGTAGTGGATCAGTGGCTAACACAGACTAAGACCTCCTCTGGTTTCTTACGTATGAAAATAGATACGAGGTAAAGTACATCTACATCACAGGACTGATGTAAGGACTAAATGAGAGCGTGCAGGGCCTGGCACGTGGAAGTATGGGTGAAGGTTTGCTGTTAGCCCCGAGATACTGAGCCCTGAGCGTCCTTCCAGTCTAGAGGAAAGTAGGAGCATGAGACGGTGGACTCTTTCCTTGACGTATCTCCAGCTTAGGCAAAGAAGTAGTTTCATTATCTCTTCTTCATTGACCAAAATAGCTCTAACAGATGGTCACAGCCCAAATTCTCGTGGTAGTGACTTCTAGGCTGGGAATATACTCCTAGGAACAGTTGAGCTACCTAGGGAAGATAAGGGGCTGATCTGAGGCACTTCCAGTTGTCCTTTACCATCTAAAAGAGAAGATTTTCACCACTATCCACTCTTCTTGTAGGGCAGGGTCAGCAAACTATAGCCCCAAAGCTAAATTCCACCCTTAATTTCTGTAAGTAATTGTTTTTAGTACCGCCACATTCATTTGTATACATTTGATCTTTGGCTACCCTCACTCTACAACAAGGTGGTAGAGTAGTTGGAACAGAGAATGTATGATCCACAAAGCCTAAAATACTTACCCCTGTTCTAAAACGTGAGTGGATTTGGCAGAAAGGGCTCACCCTATTTGCAGCTCTGAGGTTCTGGAGTTTTGGGGCCCCAGAATCATTACCCTTACCTGACTGGGTTTTCTTTGTAAGTTCATTTTTATTGAATCAGCGAAATCAGCACTTGTCACAGAAATTTAAGGTGAGGGCTACTGTAGTTGGAAAAGCTGATGGGGTTTAGTCTAGGTTTTGCAGAGTTTAGAATGATGGAAGGAAAGGTGTCCTAGGTCGGGAATCCCCATGATTGCAAACACATAAACAAATAGAGTGGATCTGAGAGTGAGAAAGATGGCCAAAAAGAAAGAGAGCATCTATGGGAGATCACACTGAGTTGTGGTATCAAGGGAACATAATTGAGGATAAGGGAAGGCAGGCAGAGAAATACATTTACCGTGGGAAGCTGTGGGTTGTGCTGGTGTGTTCTGAGGAGAATGAATGATGAAAGCAATGTTCTAGGAAGGCAGTCCTAAGGAGTTTGAAGGAGAATGTTGAGAGAAAACAGATTTAGGTAGCCAGAAGAAAACCAGCATAGAAATATGTATGTGAAGGGGCACCTGGGTGGCTCAGTGGGTTAAGCATCTGACTTTTGATTTCAGCTCAGGTCAGGATCTCAGGGTCCTGGGATTGAGCCCCACATGGGGCTCCGTGCTCAGCAAGGATTCTGCTTCTCGCCCTCTGCCCCTCCCCCTGCTCATGCATGCTCGCTCTCTCATGAGATCATGACCTGAGCCCAAGGCAGAGGCTTAACCAACTCAGCAACCCAGGCGCCCCTAAATAGATAAATCTTAAGAAAGAAAGAAAGAGAGAGAGAGAGAGAGAAAGAGAGAGAGAGAGAAAGGAAGGAAGGAAAGAAAGAAAAATCTATCTATAGATAGATAGATAGATAGATAGATAGATAGATAGATAGATAGATAGATATGAAGTCTCTGGAGCCAAATAGAGGGATGGAAGCAGAAAACGGAGAAGGAAGGAAATGAACAAGAACCTAGATGATTTAGTCCAGAGATAAATGTAAGGGGTAAGTCATTAATTACTCCAATTACCTGTTGAAATAGGTCTCTTCAGCTAGCCTGTAATCCCCCAGGAGGGGGGCAGTCCCTCCCTTGGTGCCTGACACCTAGTGAATGGCCAGGGATTATTTATTGGAGGAAAGGAAGGAAAGGGTGTGAATGACTGCAGTTGAGATGGCGGGCAGTTGTGGATGGTGGTTGGGAAGGGTGGGAATAAGGAGCTTGCTTGCATTTGAGATAAGTTAAGCTTGAGGCAAGGCCGTCTGTGTGTTCTTTCTATGCCAGAAGGCCAATTAGATTTATGCAGTCAGAACACACTTGGTAAACAAATGGCTAAAGATTACCCCCATTTTATAATTTTTAAAATGTAGATAAATTCAGGGACTAGATTACTTCCAACTTTGTACATACACACGCAGTCGCCTGCTCTCTCTCTCTTACACACACACACACACACACACACACACACTCACTGTGTTAGCATGATCCTAAGAAAATAAGCAGTCCATAAATAAGCTGTGTTTAATGTATGGAACTCCACAGAAGGTACCGAGTGATTGAGGAGCCAAGCCTGAGAATGGCTTCAGTCAGACATGAGTTGCTGATTTGTTTAAGCATGGTTCCCCACGCGGTTATTGGCTCCAGCTTTGGCTCTGAGCAGAGATTTATGTCTATCTTTGTGTATTTCCTACCTGTTCTTTTGACTTGAAATTGACACTTAAGAAAATGGAGAGCTCTTTATATCTTTGTTGAAATAAGTGGGGAAGTTTAGAACCAGGTTAGACCACTGCCCTTGTAAACTCCCTCCCTCAACCTTAATGAATTCCTTTTTTAATCGTTTTAACCTCTCATGAGAAACCTCAGATCTGGCAGTTATCTTTTAGACTTAAAAAAAAAAATGGGATCACATTTTGCTTCCTTTCTGAGTTGTCTATAGAAAAAAAAGAGCTGGCAAATTAATGCTATAGAAAGGGAGATGAAGGTCTATGGCTCTTTTCCCACAAACGCCTTAAATTACTACCAAGTGGTTCGAATTGGTTGAAGGTGGTCTGGTGAGTATTTGGTATGTGTCACACTCGAGGACACAGGTCCCTGTCATGTCCCTTTATGTTTTGGGGCTTCAGAATTAGCCTCGGCCTGTGAACTTGTTTTTCCGAAACCCTTCTACAAATCAAGGGTTCATGTAATTCAAAGCCCTTTAATCCTTGTAGTAAATACCTACTTGTGGTGGAAATGTTTATGCCCACCACGAATCATGACAGCAGTGACCCTACCTGACAGTTATGGGAAGAACGAAGGGCCAGACCCTGCAATGAGAGCTTTAGGTGATTCCTCATAGATAACAGTCTTATGAACTAGATATGTTTCACAGATGAGGAAACTGAGGCAGAGAGGCTACATTTCAGGGTTACATAACTAGTAAGGTGGGAGAAGCTGGGGTGTGAACCCAGACAGCGTTACTTGAGGGTACACACTGTTTACTGTGCCGAACTGCCCGATGCTGAAGGACTCCTCCTCCTCGTTCCCATTCTGCAGTTGAGCAGATGGAGACTCCGAGGGATTAGGTGGTTTGCTCGGCTTCTACCAATGCAAGTGTCAGAACAAGGACTAGATCCCAGGTCTCTCTGATAACAGTGCCAACAGTCCGTTTTTCTTCGGCGTAAGAGTAGACCTAATTACTCAGTTTTGAACTGTGACATAAAGTTAAGCAGGGGGACCCCTATCCACCAGGATTAATGTCTTCCTGACAGTCCTTTAAACAAGAGGATGGGATGAATGAAGCATTTCAGGAGCTGCTGAGACACTAACTTTTCTAGTTCCTGGTCCGACCTCCTATATTGCCGGCCAAATTAAACCACGAGCCTTCACGCTTGTCCCTAAGAGTCTTTGTGTGATTTGGGGGTGCTCTTGGTGGGGAAGATCCTACAAGAACCAGGTCTTCCGTGCTGAGGGCAATTGCCTTCTCTCGTTCAGGGAGCATCATGGCAGCTCTCCGTGGTGCGTCTGCAGCAGAGAGGAAGGTGTGGGAGAGGATGTCAGCTCTGGGGGGGCCTTGTCTCATCATCAAGGATGAGTGTGTTGCCTCCTGATGGGGAGCTTTTCTCTCCCACCCTCATGCTTTCTCAGAGACCGTGGAGCAGCTTGGCAGGCCCAGAATGTGTAGAGGACAAAAGGTTATTGTCACCAGCACCTTCATAATGAAACCGGTCTCTTCCCTGGCTCTCCCACCTCCCCTTCGCCTGCCTCAGATCGCTTGCCCAGTAGTTTGATTTACAAAGGCATTTTCTTCACAGTACCCCTGGCACTGGGTCGGGCCCTGTCATGGCCCAGTCCTCACCTTCTGTGCCTGGTGTCATCGGTCCCGGTGCTGGAATCCCGGCCTTGCCTCAGTGCAAGCCGGTGCCCCTCCTCCTCTTCCTCCTCCTCCCCAGCCCTTTGTGTCGAGCTGCTATTGCATGATGCACACTAGTTGGCAGTGTGAGCTCTGTGGCCCAACCTGCAGCCCTCCGAGCCACCTCAGGCTGGAATTTGCTGGCAAGCATCTATGTTACTGAGTTGAAACAAGTTTCTCACAGCTGCCTTTGTGGCACCAGGTCCCGGCTCCTGGGCCTGCTGGTGATTTAGCTTTCTCATGTGGGTTCAGGGTTCGTCATGCGCTGTGTCCAGGCACATGGGCGGGGGGCGGC